CGAAAAACGGGGGAGCGAAAATTTTATAAATTAGGATAACGTTAAATAATAAAAAAAACAATATAATTTTTGGTGTTTTATGAAAAGGACTAATAATTGAACTAATTAAAGCGGGTGTCAAGTGTTGATATGGACGTAGTAATAAAATAAATCGAGTTGAAAATATGGTGAGGTTATGTTGACATCTGACTCGAGAATAGAGGCACTGTAGCCTCACGCCTACACGTACACACACATTATTACATATGTTGTTGAACGTGTACTCGGCTTGAGGCACGACAGTGCCTCCGGACATATGTTGTTGAACGTGTACTCGGCTTGAGGCACGACAGTGCCTCCGGATAAATGAAATTAAACAAAAAAAATATTTTTCATCCATTTTATTTTCCTAAAATAAAATAATGTCGACTACCGAAATTAATTTGGTTGTTATCACTCTTTACAGTATTAAAAATTATACATCGAAATATCCCAACTTCTAAAATAATTTTGTTCATGTGCTTTTTTGCCCTCTTTATAGTATTACTCAATGGTAGCGATATTGAATGAAAATAGCATAAATTTCAGTAAAATATTAAATTAGCTCAGTTGAAATTCAGTATATATATATTTGGTTAAAATCATATAAATTCTAATGTAACCTGGAATAAATAACGTAAGAACGCAATATAAATTTTCAAATTATACAATATAAATGAAAAGTAAAGTTGATATAAATACTTCAATATCGCCGCAAACATGCCGTATAAATGTTGTTTTAAATAAGAATTAATACAATATATACATAGTATTACTACGGTGAGAAAAATTCACAAACACACCGTGTTTACTCCGTAAAAATACTTACTTTATACCGTAAACATACGTATGCTAGTAGAATAAAGGTTAGCAGTGATGTCTGCTTATTTGCTGATAATATTGTTGTTGCTGGCAGTGTGATTCCCTACGTGAAAACTGTAAAATACTTGGGGGTGGTTATTGATAACACTCTCTCATGGGAGCATCAAGTTACCAAGATGTGTAATCAGGCTATGAGTTCGTTGGCTCAGTTAAAAATAAATAATGAGGTGTTCAATACGGAATTACGTGTTAAACTTGTGACAACTATTATTTTTCCGATTTTTGATTATTGTTGTGCTGCATTTACTAATTAATAATATGTCTAAAAAGTTACTAATTAGACTACAAAGAAAAATGAACTCGTGTGTGAGATTTATTTTTAAGATATCACGATATGAACATGTAACTCCATATTATAAACAATTAAGTTGGCTAAAATTGAGGACAAGGAGAGATTATTTTATTGCGTGTCTATTTTTTAAAGAAATTCGGTTAAATTATCGTCAATTGTTTGGCTCAAAGCTGCAGTTCCTGGAGGTTGCAATGCGCCGAGGAGATATTAGGCAGGATTACTTGAGATTACCAATGTCTACAAGTAATATTTACGATAAATCGTTTCTAATTCAAGGCATACGAGTCTGGAACTCTTTGCCGGCTGGGCTTACAACTGTAGATGATTTGACTGAATTTCAGAATCACTAATTTGTATTCCTTCTCGAAAAAGATGTTTAGATAATCTCCACTTATTTATTATCACTATTATTATTATGATTATTGTATTTATTATGATTATTGTGTTCTACTATTTTCGTTTTGATGTCATCAATGGTATTATTTATTTATTTATTTTGATTGAATTAATTCTTAAATTACATATGTAACTCTATGCAAGATTTATATTTATATCTATATTTATACTTATATTATATTTATATTCATATTATATTTGGCTATTATACTCTTTTTGAATACTTTTTATTGTATTCGGAAATTATACTTATATTATAATTAGAAATTTATTTGTTAATAAGATTACTGTAAATGAAAATGTATACTGTATATAACTTTGATGTCCTTGAGGGAGCCCAGGCTCTAAGGTCAAATAAATAACTTTATCTATCTATCTATCTATCTATGCCTCAAATATACGCAGAAAATACCGTATTTATACAGCTCAATGAAAACCGCGAGAGTAATTATTGATTCTTATAGCAGAAAATTTCAAATTTGTTAGAATTAGTATCTTGGAACTAGATTTGTAGAGAAAACGACTTTAATGTTTGGAAACAAAATACTTTTTATCATTAATTATCACATGATTATCATTAATTATGAGATTGTCACATATAATGTCTGAATTATCTGCAGAATAATTTTCTATTCGTCGCTTATCAAAGCGTGAAACTTCAATTGTCTTCAACAGTCACCTTAGTGTTTGAATTTCTCCTACGACAAATGGATTTCATTTTACCAAACCACGTGTTAGTTGAAATCTTCAAGGGTCTACGGCCCATCCAACTTGCGAAATTACGATGTGTTCATTCTACATGGAAAAACGCAATTGAGAGATTGGTACCACGATGGTTAGAATTGATAAGAATGACTTCTACGGAAACGAAGCCGTGGAAGTATCAACTCATCCAAATGATGTTTCCGTCAATGAGCAGCAGTGAGTATGTTAATCTGACTGAAGAGCAATTTAAAGAGTTGTTTTTTAGTTTTCTCAAATGGCGAAAATTTCCGAAAAATCTCAATAGGGGACTTAATGCGCAATTTCCGAGTTTTGAAGGAGGCAATGAAGCTTCAATTTTTGGTGATTTACACGGTAAAAAAAAATAATAATTTTATTTGATTATGCACATGCAAACTATGGTGCTGCCTACTGTAAATGTTCTAAGCAAAATAATTGCCAGAATTTGAATTTTTATAATGATCTATAGGAGATCAGCTAATCTACGGCGGATTGAAGGAGGGTCGTTTATTCTGCATCAATATAGCTTCAGGAAATTTTGATCATGCCTTTAATATTTTTGAAAATTCATCTGTAGGCACAATAAGTATTGAGTTGAGAAAGGTGGATCTCATAAAAATTTGGGCCCCTCGTAAGTTTTTTTCATGTATGCCTAATAGCGCGATTGCACTGATAAGAAAATTAGGAAAACGGTTGACCCGGAAGGCCATCCTTTTTTCGGGTTTCTTTCGTTCACGATATCTCTCGAACGAATTAACCGATTTTGACCGGACTGGTGGTGATAGAGGCGGTTTTTGAAGGTTAAGAGCTGATAAGTTTTTGAAGTTGATCGATAAAACCGTTTAAAGGTTATTGCAAAAAACACACGCACACACACACACACACACACACACACACACACACACACACACACACACACACACACACACACACTCGGGGCAGAAGAGATACTGCTACCGGGCGCGTCTCCCCGAGTGGATGGGAGAACGCTCGCTGTCCTTGGATGACACTTAATCTCTTAGTTGATAAGGTACAACAGGTAGGAGCCAAGCAAAATAACTAAACAAAATACGCTCCCGTGGACAAAACTCCCCTTTAATGGGTTGGTCGCACTAACTGACCTAACAAGACGATCGTTCTCTGCTGTGACCCACTGGGAGTGACCAGAATCTGTATCGTAGTTTCCGACAATGCAGACCACGGCTGATGTGAGCTTGCTCTGGTTGTAACTCACTGGGAGTGTCCGGAGAATCTGTATCGTAGTTTCCGACAATGCAGACCACGGCTGATGTGAGCTTGCTCTGCCGAGGTGAGAGTTGCAGCAGTGGATCAGGAGCCAGCCACTTCGGGCCTTGGTCAGGAAGTACGCAGTGAGTGTTAGAGATCGGAATCTTCACCGCTCCGAGCGAGTCTAGTCCGTCCGTGTATTCCGGGACTGGCTAAGTGCTGGCTAGGCCTCAGGGAACTGGGGTAGGAGTACTATCTCCGAGGGTACACCCGTTCCTAGTTATAGCAACCCGCTCCACTCCGTACGATGCGCTGGTAAATTAAAAAGTATGAGTAATGCACAGGAAACAAACAAGAGTGAAAACGGGCCTCATGCCCAGCAAGACACACTGCTACTTAGTGCAAAGATGAAGAGGACAGATGCGCTGGCACATCTGGAGAAGCTAGTCAGTGGACTGCAGGACTTTCTCCAAACCAATCAAAATGTCCACAAGGAGATCAAGTCGAAGTCGACGAACATCTGCAGTGCCCTGAAAAGGTTCAAAAAACTGGACCAAGAATGGCAGGAGATCCAACAACAACACGGTAATATCGTGATGAAGACGAGTGTGACAGCGGTTTCACCAGCAAAAGCCGACACGTTTGTCGAGGAGATGGACACAGGTGGTGAGGGTGACGTCGAGTCAGTTGTCGAAGACGGAGAGGAAACTGGAACTGATATCAGGCCTGGGAAAAGGAAAGAACGAAATTCCCCAGACTCGATGACCAGCCGTACTAAGAAGAAAACGGACCTTAAACCAAGTCCTCCGAAAAACGCGGTAACACAGAACGGTGGAAAAAAGGAGGTGGATGAATGGCAAAAAGTCCAGTCAAGGAAGTCCAAGAGAGAGCAAGCAGAAGAAAAGCTCCAGAAGCAACCGCCGAAGGAGTCCAGGCCAGAGCCTAATCGGAAAAAACCGCGCAAACGGATCAGGCCGGACGCACTGATCATCCGCCCCGCAGAGACAGCAAAGTATGCTGAAATTCTGGAGCGAATAAAACAGGACGTCCCTGACGAACAGGTCCGTACTACAGTGGATAAGATTCAAAGAACTAGGACCGGGAGCTTGCTGATTACGCTTTCGAGGAAGAGCACTGACCGAGGCCAAGTCTTACAGAAGACCATCGCGGACATCCTCCAAAAAGACGCGAAGGTAATCTGCAAAGGACCACAGGAAGACGTCGAAATCCGAGATCTTGACGGTACCACAACCCAGGAGGATATTCAGGCTGCCTTGCAAACGGAAATCGGAGAAACCTGCGAGATACCACTAGGGACAATTAAGATTCATAAGGCCTACAGAGGTACTCAGAGAGCTGTTGTGACACTACCAGCAGCTACAGCGCGGAAGATATTGACAGGAAGCGGTAAAGTCCGGATCGGCTGGGCCAACTGCCGCATCAGAGCTACGAAGAGACCAATCCAATGTTTCAAGTGCTGGCACTTTGGACACCTTGGATCCCAGTGCAAGAGCAATGTGGATCGGTCTAAGCTATGTATTAGGTGTGGACAAGAGGGACACAATATTGCTGAATGCGAAAACCCAGCGAAATGTGTATTATGCGCGGATCAAAGTGCGGAGAACTCGGCTCATCATGCCAGAGCATCCAGGTGCCCAGTATTTAAAGAGGCACTCCAGAAGGTAACAAACAAACAGACATGAAGATATTGCAGCTAAACCTAAACCATTGTAAAGCTGCACATGATCTGCTTATGCAAACAGCAAGAGAACTAGAGTTAGACTTAGTAATGATAGCAGAGCCATACAGACACCTGAATACCCAGCCTTGGGAATCTGACAGCACCGCTAAGGCTGTCATCTGGTCTTGTGGTAAGCATCCCTTCCAGGATGTAGTTAACAATGATAATGCCGGCTTTGTAGCAGCAACAGTTAACGGCATCCGTTTTTACAGCTGTTAAGCACCACCTAGCCTATCCATTGTTGAAGTCACA